TGGATAGAGAGGATGAAAGTCCAGACTTAGGGCATTGGCATAGGACATTATCAGAGGGATAGGCAGTAAGAACGGACTCATACCTTTGGCGTCTGGGGGCCTGCGGTAGAGGAATGGGAGGTGAATTGTTATATGGGGAAAGAATAGGCTGGCTCAGAGGCTCAACTCTCCGTCCTCATTTACCTCTGGACTCCAAGTAACCTGTAATAATGAAAACCAACCTCAGGGGCAAAATGCTGATTCTTTTAGGAACAATAAAAGTTACCTCTTTCACTGTAATGAGAGACGTAGAGCCCCTTGAATAGGAGCTTAAACCTTTCATTCTGTAATTATTGGCTGTAACCCCCAAAATTCTAATTCCTAGAAATGTTAACATGTAAATATGGAGGAATTGTATTCCATTTAGAAAAAACCATACAGTTCTACTTGGATTAGTGGGAGGTGTGAGAGAAGGTGTTGGGCCTAGAAGGTGGAAGGAATGTGTCTAGAACGTGACCAGGAGAAAAGAGACTGGTGGGGACAGACCCAAACTTGAAGGCGTGACAGTTTTTACTGGAGCCACCTTATTTACCCTTATTGTCCTGTATTGATAAGAAGCGATGACGAAACAGAGTTGTCTGGTTGTTCACATGTGCACATTGAAAATTCGAGTAACTGCCTCTATGGTGTAGGCAGGTCTCCACTGAGAAGCTGCATGGCTGAGCAGATGGCTGTAAGAAGGTACGCAGCGTCAGCAGGCTTGTGATGCGTTCCCCCTGTTGTGTTTACTGTACATTGAATCTGATTGGGTGTCATTTGTAGACCACTTCAGAAATGTCATTTGTATTACCTGCTCTTTCTCTCACCCTTTCATGTCACACTAACAATAATGCATCTTTTTTTCTAGATTGATTAGGTGAATAAGCTGGAATAATAGGAAAATCTTTACCAACATTCAAAGTAGATATCACAAAATATATGCCCACCATTGACTGAAGAGACTGGCATTAGAATATGCTTGTTGGCTTATTTAATACAGTACAGATTCTTTGTAATTTAAATTGGTAATGTTTCTTTCCAAGAAGTAAAAGTTAATTTTTAAACATAAGAAAATTTTCAACTGAAGAAAAGATAGCAGTGTATCAACAGGATGTACCAGAATGTTTATAGGACCTTTAGCTATAAGAGCCCCAAACAAACGTGTCCTGGTTATATGTTTGGAATACTATACAACAATGAAAGTGGACCAACTCTTCATGGTTATCATAAAAATAAGCAAAATAATCCAGGCACACAAAAAATACATTTCATAGAGCTCAAAAACAAGCAACACTAATCCATGCGCACAGAAATCAAAAAAGTCTATGAGGAAATGGAAATTTGGTTGCTGGTGGTACGAGCATTCTGTTTTAGCTGAGTGGTAGTTAATGTGTGTGTTCACTTAGTAAAACTTTGTCAAGCTGTTTTATGATTTGTGCACTTTTGTATTTGTATGCAAAACTTTAATTAAAAATAAAAGACGGTAAAATTGTCCTCATTATTTTAATCCATATAATTACTATGTAGGCAAAGGTTTAAAGGAACATGTGTTCAAGTTGAAAAAGAACTTTCCTGTTAGTGCAGGAGTGAAACGGGGTGGGAAGGTCCTCTGAGGATTGCTGAAGCATAACTCACATGTTTAGGGTTTGTATAAATGAGTTATTAAATGATCTGGCTTGTTTATGTAGCAGTTTGTTTCCTTAAATAACTGACTGATGTATTACTTTAGATTCCTTTCTCGCGACTTCATTTTTCTGGGAAACTATTTTGAAGAGCACTGAGATAGTGAATTTCGTGATTTTAGAGTTGGAGGCCTGAGTTCAAATTCTAGTTCCATGTTTCACAACTAAATGACTTACAACAAGTCAAATTTCTGTGTCCTCTCTTTTCTGTGTGTTGCTGGAGCTAATATTACCTACTCAGAAGGAATATTGAAGACTCAATGATGCCTAGTTTGATGTAAGGCACATTGTAAATACTCAGGAAATCTATCCTGCTTTTTCCCCATCTATCCCTGTCTCACACTAACAGAAATGTAGAGAGTTGGCGTCACCCTTACATTGGGCCCTTGGAAGGGTGAGGGATGTCATCCACAGTGTGCAGTGATGGTGCACGGAGCTCGCTGTAGATGAGAGCTGCTTCTCTTTCCTCCTTTCACGCCTCACCCCCACCTCCGCAACCCCACCACACATGTACCACCACTGCCCCTCGCTTACACAGGCACAGAATGTGGAAGAAACACGTTTCCTGTGGAGGGCAGGAAATCACCCGACCTGAAAGCTAAGTCCTCTTTTGAGATTAAATAGCGGCATGGTTTTTGATGACAGGATGTGTGTCTGAGCTTGATCTGAGAGGCATACCTAGAAGATCAGCAACTTTATGTTGATGAACATTTACGTTATGAAGTTTGCTATTTGATTTCCATTTCTTGGTTTTCAGTCTTGATCTCTGATTTCAAGTCATGATCTGTGTATGTATTTATCCTTTTTTCTTAAATTCTCTCATGATATATATTCTTTAACTTTTATTTTCCCATGGGTATAAAAAGATGCTTGGCAATCGTAGTATAATAAAACTTAATACTGAATATCTTGTACCTGTCAAGAAGTTCTATACCCAGTAGTATTTTGCATGTAGTTATAAGCATCGCTTTGCTTTTAAATATTTGTGAAATTTTATCCTAACTCAGCCCTTTTATTTTGCCAGTTATACAATTAACAGAGTGAATTACAAATACTATGTAATATATATCCATAGTTAAATTTTATGTGATCTTACATCAAAGTGAGAGGCCTTTCCCTAATCATGATACACATTTTACAGTCTGAATAAATTGCTTTTAAACTGAGAAACTAAGGAGGCACCATCTCCTTGTACCAGAGGTAGCTACCATGCATTGCATACCTGCTGACAGTGTTAGGCCCGTCATACGCATACTTTACACAGACTCTTCACAACAGCCTCAGGGCTTCAGTATCAGCGCCTCAGAGCCCATTATTTTTGTTTAGATGAGAAAATAGCAAGAGGTATTTGAATGTTACATAATTATGGACCATGTAATACACAAATAGAGAAGATATGAATCTCTCGATTGTGAAGGGAAGGGAAGACAAAGTTTCCTGGTCCTGGGACCCACTGACCATTATTTGAGACACTGGTTCCTCAGCCTGCCCTTGTGGAGAGCAGAGCTGGGCTTTCTCAGCATCAGGGGTTCAGATGTGCCAGGAACACCCAGGAGCACAGCTTTGACTGCAGTTGGGTCTGTAGCCCTGGTTGCAGATTTAGTCAGCTGTACACTTCTTGTGAGTCTAGGCAAGTTGATTCAAAGCCGCCTTTGTGTTCTCTGCTTTGTTGTTAAAAGAGTGTCCTTGCTCTACTTGAGTTTGAGAAAAACTGTTACAAAATTTATCAATAAGGTCAAGCAACGGTAGTTTGACTGCCGCTTTTCTGGGGTCTGTATTAGAGTTTTATGTACTGTGCCCTGGTGACATTTGTGTGCTTCACAGGACAGACTCAGTGCAGGCACAGTTTAAGATCTGCCTTCACCCCTGGTCTTTGCTGCCACCTCTTCCTAACTGCCCTCCCATGGTCTCTCTTTTTCTGCCATGTCCAGAATGTTGCCCAAAAGATTTATTTGAAGATCCAGATGTAATCACTTTATTTCTCTGCCAAACTTCTGATTGATCTCCGTTATTCTCAGAGTCAGTGTCTCTCCATTCCAGCACTTCCACTGCAGATCGTTGTTCCTTGAATATACCATTTTCTTCATACCTGCGGGTTTTTATGAGCTGCCTTCTCTACTTAGAGCTCTTTCTTCATCTTCCCTCTTTTTGCAACATTGCCACTCTTCCTGCAAGCCCCACTTCTAAATATCTCTTTCCCTTTAAAACCTGCATCAACTCCTTGCAGGCAGAAGTTGCTTTTTCCTTGGGACACTGCAGCATTTACACTACATAACTATCATTGGTTTTCTTTTTTAGGTTCTTCAAGGACAAGGACTTTCTCCTCTTTTTCTTATTGTTGTTAATTCCCAGCAATCAGTTAAGTGCCTAGTTCACAGAGATTTCTGGGAAAAGTTTAGTAGTGGTTGAACCAAGCAAAGATACTCTGTGGCAATTTTTTGCTTAAGATACTTGGTCTTTGGCAACCAATCAGGTTCTTTTCCAGAAACATTATTGTGTGTGGGCAATCTTCAAGGGTTAGGAGCTGAGTGCTGCATGTACCAGATTTTGAAGACTCAGATTTTTATACCAAGAGCTATTTCTATCCACAGTGCTTTTTAGCACAGTGCCTGGTGTTTAGTAACCACTAAGTAAGTTAGTTATATCACTATGTGTTTACCTATCATGCTTAGCTCCACAAATCAAAGATTGTTTTTAAATGCTTTGTCCAGTTTGTAGTATCAAAATTATAGAGCATTTCAAATTGTGCCTGTAAATATGTAGGTTTATCACATTACATAGAGGCACAAGCCACTTGTTCCCTGCAACTTCTTATTCTAGGGGGACATCCTCTAATTGATAACTATCACCCGGTAGGTACCTTTTCTAAGCACTCTACCCTTCTTTCTCACTGTATCATCTTTCTGTTTCAAAGACCGCCTATGGCTGCGGTAAGAGAATCTCTCAGGTGAGAGTCTGACCCGGACATTACCTTTGCAAATATGGGGGTGGGGGTGCTTAATTAAGTTCAGTATTTCCCTCCCTTCCTGATATCACCTGAGGATTTACTTTTATTTATTTCTTATATTGCGATATACTTGAAGAAGTCTCTGTCTTCCTTATTTATATGTAAGAATAGTAGGATATGGCTTATGACTTTGGTATATTTTCAAAAATAACCTGGAAAAAAAAGTAAATCGCCCTCGCACTTAACTGCTTGACTGGATTTAAATCCTATTGAAAGCACTTGCTTTTCATAGTTTCTCTTTCAGTTTCTCCCTCTCATTCCTGTTCTTACTCTGTCTCTCCTTGTTTTTCCAGAAGGTGCATATTCCTCCTTGTTCATTTTTAAACAGCTTCCAAAGCTGCTGTTGATGATGCATGAAGCTGTTTTGGAGGCAGAAAATCAACAGAGAGATCAAGAATTGTAAGAATTCAAGTGCATAAAGAAAGCTTGCTGCTCTGTGTATTGACTGTTTTGAAGATGGTCCAGAAAGTTGGCGCGGGAGAGAGAACAGGAGGTTTGGGGTTGGGGAGGCACTTTCCCTATCAGCAAGACTTACTCTGAAGCTGCAGTAATAAGATGAAGGTAGTAACGGAGAGAGATGTAAATACAATAATAGTAGTGGAATAGAAAACCTAGAATTGTCTCCACAGAGATGAAAAACTGATTCATGGCAGAAATCAGCATTAAGATTATTAGGGAAAAGGATAGATTATTCAATAAATGGTGCTGGAAAATTCCTTATCCATATGGGAAGAAAATTTACTGGATTTTTACTTTCATCACCTCAAGAATCAATTTGCTGCTGTATTGAGAACTTAAATGTGAGGGGTTAAACACTTATTAAAAAAATACATAAAATTATACTTAGGACCGGGGGTAGGCCATGATCTTCATAAATAAAAAGTACAGACTATAAAAGAAACTTTTGATAAATGCAGTCTTAATAAATTTAAGAACCTCTGTTCATCGAAGATACCATAAAGTAAACAGATAAGCCCCAGAGTAGTAAAAGATATAACTTACATAATCAACAAAGAGTATCCATAATATTTACCTTTTCTAATCTAGCCAGTTTTACTATTTCTCTGTGACCTGAGACCTATAGTCACTGATTATTAGCAGTATCTTGGCTCCTACAAATTTAGTGATTACAGAAAGTTTTCTGAATTGATAAGGCTATCAGGCCATCATCTGTAAAATCCACTTCAATTCAAGACTTGAAGGATCAAATCATCTCATCTAGGGAAACCCAATGCAAAGTTATGCCTTTCTAGTACTCTCTTTCTATACTACTCAATATTTGCCTAACAACATACCTGTAATACTCAAGATCGCACATTTCTTGCATTGAGTACTAATTAATCTACACTTGGTAATAGCAACAGAAATGTTACTAACACCTAAAAGTGATAAAACTAGTTGCTGTAGCTGCATGTTTGGATTTTATTTTTTTTTTAATTTTTTTTTTTTTAAAGATTTATTTATTTATTTATACAAGCACGGGGTACAGTCAGAAGCACGGGAGGGTGAGAGAATTCACCAGAGCCAGAGCGGAGAGCAGAACAGGCAGACTGATGAAATACACTGCTGAGGGGAGCAGCGGGCGGCAGGAGAGGTCTGCGCGCCATGTGGGACCCTCACCAGGCGGCTGGGGATCGAACCGGCGCTGCAGAGGCTGCGGGCAGCTTCGCAACCCAGCGCTCAACCGCTGCGCCACCAGGGGAGGCCCTGGATTTTATTTCTTAATATGTTAACACCTAGGGCCTCCCCTGGTTGGCGCAGGCGGTTGAGCACCGTGCTGTGAAGCTGTCCGAAGCCTCTGCAGTGCCAGTCCAATCCCGGCCAGCCGGCTAGGGTCGCACATGGCACTGCAGACCTCTCCTGTTCCATCTGCTGCTCCCCTCAGCAGTGTATTTCGTCAGTCTGACTGTTCTGTTCCCCACTCTGTCTCCTGTGAATTTTCTCACCCTCCTGTGCATCTGGCCTGTACCCCGATTCTTGTATAAAATAAATAAATAAATCTTTAAAAAATATATATATAACACCTATTAGTTGTCTTTATTTTTTATTTCTTGGAGTGCTCTTTTAAGAGAAAAGATTAGAATTCCAGACTTTTTACATGAGATATTTGTGTTTTCAATAACAGTCAGTTGACTTTTCTGGTACATATGAAATGATATATTGTTCTGTCCATTTCTTTTTTTTTTTTTTTAATAATAAATTTTATTTTTATATTCCCCATACAATTGCAATCCCCCCATTCTGACCCCAATCCCTCCCCTCCCGTCCCCCACCCCCCAAAAAGTGTCTCTGGTTCATAGTTTTTTGTTGATTTTGATTTTCACTTTCTTATAGTTATTCATTTTCCTGGTCCCTTATTTAAGTTTTCTAGATTCCTGCTATGAGTGAGACCATCCGGTATTTTTCTTTTTCTTTCTGGCTTATTTCGCTGAGCATGATCCCTTCCAGCGCCATCCATGTTGCTGCAAATGGCATGTGTTTATCTTTTTTGAATGCTGAGTAATATTCCATGGTGTATATGTACCACATCTTCTTGATCCAGTCATCTGTTTTTGGGCATAAAAATATGGAACGCTTCACGAATTTGCGTGACATCCTTGCGCAGGGGCCATGCTAATCTTCTCTGTATTGTTCCAATTTTAGTATATGTGCTGCCGAAGCGAGCACTGTTCTGTCCATTTCTGTTAGTTGGAACCAAAGGAAAAAGACCAGAGGGTTTCTTTATGCTTTTTCTTCTAGAACAAAAGTAAACAAGTTAAGTCTTGGGCCTCCCCTGTGGCGCAGCAAGTTGAATGCAATGCTGTGAAGCTGTCTGCAGCCTCTGCAGCACAGGTTTGATTCCCAACTGGCCAGGGAGATACCCACATGGCACGGCAGACCTCTCCTGTCTCGCCTGCTGCTCCCCTCAGCGGTGTTTTTGGTCAGTCTGCCTGTTCTGTTCCCCACTCTGTCTCTGGTGAATCCTTTCACCCTCCCACGCCTCTGGCCTGTACTCTTGTATAAATAAATAAATCTTTAAAAAAAAAAAAAAAAGTTAAGTCTTGGCTACTTACTAAAAGAATAACCAGAGATGCTACCGACACAGTTTCAGACTCGATCCTTTTATGTAAACAGAAGCACCCAGGTTGGAGGCCTGGTATCACTAGCAGTTAGTGTAGTGGCTTCTCTTACAGGATTTTGACTCCTGGAAGGAAGGGACCAGGTCTGTTACATTTGTCAGTCACTGTTTCATGCTTGCAACCATGGTTGTGTGCTCTTGTTTTTTTTCTCTTTGCTGTTTTAGCAAGAAGATAATCTGAAGGGGAATTACAATAATAGAAGTAGCTGTTTAATAGTGGATAGAATAATATACAGAGTTACCAGAGTTTAAAATAAAAAATTCATAGAGATCAATGTTTATAAATAGAATGCTTCCAGTAAGAACTGGAAATGTTTTGTAAAATTGTATTGTACAAGAGTCCTGGTTGTGAGGGAGGACCAAGCAGAGGAATCATGTGCATTTGTGTATACTACATACTTAGTAGTGCTAATACAGTGTTCATATGTAAATGCTAGAATTAAATTGTAGCAAAGCTTTGTTCTCATATTAACCATGGGACCTGTGAAGTCAATAATGAAATCTTTCTGATTTTTCCAAGAGTTAAGTCCTGAATTCTTTGTGATAGTTACTGGAAAGGTTTCGGGGAGTATTCAGGGAAGCTTGTATTATGATTTGAAGAGACCTGTTTCATCAGGTCTGTTTCATCAACAGTGCTTACCTTTGAGGGATGTTCAGACAGCTCCCTCAGTTTTTACAAATGATGGTTCTGTTTTCTCTACTAATAGAACGATTTATCTGGTTCTCTAGTTTACTGAGGGCTTAAAAATAGACAGTGTAAGTTAATACATTTATGGTACCATGTTCTTAACAATTTAAGAAATGCATTCTCCTCCTTTCTTTGCTAGTGATCATGTTTGCCTTTCAACCTACTGGTGAAGTGTGTCAGCCCCGGGCCTGGTTTCACTTCTGGCATTGAGTTAGTAACAGAAGGATAGTTGATGATAGCAATGTAGTGCTCTGTGTCCCAAGTTGATCTCACACCTCTCTCAGGTAGCATGAGGTGGCAAGGAACTATCCAAAAAGGTGAGATTCCCATCTCTCTGAGGGGTGAATCAAGTTGTTATAACCCAAGAGACCTTATAATTAAAGTTCCATGTTCATCTTTGTTTATTTTTTTAAAATGTGTGTATACATAGACACTCACACATATATTTGTTTTTTATTTATATATATATTTTTTTAAAAATTTATTTATTTATACAAGCACTGGGTACAGTCAGAAGCGCGGGAGGGTGAGAGAATTCACCAGAGCCAGAGCGGGGAGCAGAACAGGCAGAAGGACCGAGGTACACTGCTGAGGGGAGCAGCGGGCGGCAGGAGAAGTCTGCGCGCCATGTGGGACCCTCCTCCGGAGGCCGGGGAGCAGCCAGGGATTGAACCAGCACTGCAGAGGCTGCGGGCAGCTTCGCAACCCAGCGCTCAACCATTGCGCCACCGGGGAGGCCCCATCTTTGTTTATATTTACAGGGGAAATCTTATTTCCAAATCGAAATGTTTCTTCTCATTAATTTTGGCACCTGTAATTGGAGAAGCTGGTGCACTATAGCCAGATGTGCCTACCCGACTAGCTGTGTCTTCTACAGAAGACAAATCTGCACACAAGACAGTACCAAAGATGAATTTTAATTACTGGTATATTTCAAGTAGCCTGGTTTCTCCCCACCTGATAGAAGTTGCGCATCTTTCCAAACAGGTTCTCTAATGGTCTTGCTTCACCATGGCTACAAATATGGAGGGGCTGGTTCAGCACAGAGTGGGGACCCAGCAGGTGGCTGAGGTGAGTGATGGGTTAACACAACAGCTGGCACTCTTGCTTTTGAAGGGAAAAGTACATCAGTGTGCTTTGTTGTATCCAAACAGTCCCAGTGAAGTCAGTATGTGATGCAAATCTGAAGCAGGATGCTGCTGTGGAAGAAAATAGAAATGCCAAGAACGATTATTCCTAACCCTTTTTTCTCTGAGTAGGGTGGCCTAATTGATTCAGTAAGATGCCTTTAATATATTTCACCTTCAACCAAAACTAATCTGATGCTTATCAATCTTGTATGATTTTAACTCCATGCCTTAGTTTCTTGCACACTTGATACTTTGTCAATAATGTGGCCTAGAAGACCTGTTTCTGTGATTCTGGATCATTCCTAACCATCTACCATGTGCTAGGGGTTTGCTAAATGCTGAGGGTGAATGAGCTTGGGTCCTTTCTTCCAAATTTCTAGGAGCCTGGTTAGGAGTAATTGTAAAACAGGTGAAAGTTTAACTCCAGGTGAGGAAGATGATCCCAGAGGTAGAAGTTTATTGACAAGCATTTGTCAGGTTGCTGGGCTTTGTGGCATTCGTTGGAGCAGCATTCTAAGTCAGATATCCAGGGCAGAGGAGTGAAATAGCTTGGTACATTAAGGTGACTTGAAGTGTAAAGAAGAGAAGTGGAGCCAGATCATGAAAAGTATAGTTAATCTGTTTTCCTGAATATTGTTATTTTGATATTCATTCTGTACCAGCCCTGGATGCAAGAATTTTAAATCCCCACAGTTACCTTTTGAGGTTGATGTTATTACGATTCCCATTTCTTTTCTTTTTTTTTTAAATCTTTTTTTTTTTTAATAGAGGCATGTTTTATTTATTTATTTGTTTGTTTGTTTGTTTGTTTGTTTGTTTGTACATGCACTGGGTACAGTCAGAAGCGCGGGAGGGTGAGAGAATTCGCCAGAGCGGGGAGCAGAGCAGGCAGAAGGACGGAAGTACACTGCTGAGGGGAGCAGCGGGCGGCAGGAGAGGTCTGTGCACCACGTGGGACCCTCCTCCAGTGGCCGGGGAGCAGCCGGGGATGGAACCGGCGCCGCAGAGGCCGTGGGCAGCTCTGCAACCCAGCGCTCAACCGCTGTGCCACCGGGGAGGCCCGATTCCCATTTCTTATGTGAGGAAACCAAGGCCCAGAGACAAGTAACTGGCCAAGGGCACTCGGTAGCAGAACTGAGATTCTGACCCAGTTCTGTAACTTTTTCCAAAGGTCCTCAAATCTGGCATCATACTGCAACCTGAAGCCATTAGAAGAATTCAGACTTGTATTTTTAAGTGATTCCTATTTCACTCATATATCCAGTACGAAGCTACAGATTTACCAAAGAATGGATGTTTAAAGGACTTTTAAAATTAAGTACACCTAGCCAATTTGTTTATTTACTTTTATATTTTTAATTTTATATATTTTTTACGTCGTTCTTCATTTTTGTGCAGTGTATGCTTTCTCATCTCCGTTGTAGTCCGGTGTGAAATACCCACTACCCAGTCACTTGTGTACCATCACCATAGTCCCTTGTGCTCTTCCCACCCGTTTTTATCCTGCTCCTTTCTACCCCCTGAAGAATGTGTCTGGTTTATAGTTGCTTGTCGATTTTGATTTTCACTTTATTATTATTACCCCCCCCCCCCCGCCCCGCCATCCCTTATTTGGATCCTCTCTACATTCCTCCTATAAGTGAAACCATCTGGTATTTTTCTTTTTCTTTCTGGCTTATTTCACTGAGCATGATCCCTTCTAGCTCCATCCATGTTGGTGCAAATGGCATGAGTTTATGCTGGGTAATATTCCATTGTGTACATGTACCACATCTTCTTGATTCAGTCATCTATTTTGGGGCATTTGGATTGTTTTCATAGCTTATCTATTGTAAATAGTGCGGCAATAAACTTAGGGGTACAGGGGCTCCTTTGAATTAATGTTTTTGTGTCCTTTGGGTAAGATACCTAGTAGTGGAATTGCTGGATCATATGAAAGATCCATTTTTAGCAGTTTGAGGAACCTCCACACAGCTTTCCATAGTGGTTGGACCAGTTTACATTCCCACCAGCAGTGCGGGAGAATTCCTTTTTCTCCACATTCTTGTCCCTAGTTTTTTTGGTATGTGCCATTCTCACTGGTGTAACATGGTATCTCATTGTGGTTTTGATTTGCATTTCCCTGGTTAGGAGTGACGTTGAACATGTTTTCATATGTCTGTTGGTCATTGGCATTTCCTCTTTGGAGAAATGTCTTTTTAGCTCTTCTGCCCATTTTGTGACTGGGTTATTTACTTTGTTTTTCTCAAGTTTCGTCAGCTCTTTGTAGCTCTTTGTGACCAGTCTCGTATCATTAGTATTGTGGACAAAAATTTTCTTCCAGTCAGTGGGCTCTTTGTTTTGGTTAATATCTCTTTTGCTGTACAGAAGCTCTTTAATTTGATATAGTCCCAGCTGTTTATCCTTTTGTAGGGGCAGGAATGGACACAGAGCAGGTTTTCTGATCCAGCAGACCCGGTAAAGGAGGAGTCAGTCCTCATTGGCTTTTGCAGGTTTTTTATTTAGATTACCAGGTACACTGCAGGCAGGGGCGCTGGGGGACCCGGAGGCTGGCGGGCCTCCCGGCCCCCAGCAAGTCTTCACTCTGGGCTCTCTGACCTTCTCTCACATTCTCTATGCTCTTCCTATGGCTCTGCTTCTCTCTCGGCTTCTCTGCTTCTGCTGGCATCCCCATGACACCGCCCTTAAAAATTCAGTCTCGGGCCTCCCCTGGTAGCGCAGCGGTTGAGCGCTGGGCTGCGAGGCTGCCCGCAGACTCTGCAGCGCCGGTTCGTTCCCCGGCCCCCAGCGAGAGTCCCACCAAAAAAGGAAAGAAAAAAGTCTCTCAGCCCAGGTGTACCCACTTCAGGTGCCCGCCATCAGGCATGCATTCAGGACCACAGGGTTCCCTCATCTATCCTACTGGCGGGAGAGCAGAAAAGCCTGATACCTTTTACATACCCTACACCTTTCCTTCACTATCTTTGCTTTGGGTGATGTGTCTATAAAGATGTTATTGAGGTCTATGTCATGTAGTGTTGCGTCTATTTTTTCTTCTATATATTTTACGGTTTCAGGTCTTACATCTTTAGTTCTTTAATCCATTTTGAGTTGATTTTTGTGCATAGTATGAGGTAGTAGTCTAGCTTCATTTTTTTGCATGTAGCAGTCCAGTTTTCCCAGCACCATTTATTGAACAAACTGTCATTGATCTATTCACCTAGCCACTTTAAACCAATAAGAATGATGAGCAGATTTTTTCAGCTTTTAGGTCCCTCCCTCATTAACTTTAAGGCAAATAGTATTAGTACAATTAATAATGCCCCTCTCCCAGCAAATAATGATTAGTATTGACAATATAAAAACAGACTTCAAAATTGTTTTAACGTTATATTTTGGGGGATTTTTTTTAAAGATTTATTTATTTATTTATACAAGAACTGGGGTACAGGCCAGATGCGTGGGATGGTGAGAGGATTCACCAGAGACAGAGCAGGGAACAGAACAGGCAGACTGATGAAATACACTGCCGAGGGGAGCAGCGGGCAAGACAGGAGAGGTCTGCCATGCCATGTGGGACCCTCGCCGGCCTGGATCGAACCGTCGCTTTAGAGGCTGCTGACAGCTTCACAGCACTGTGCTCAGCTGCCTGGGCCACCAGGGGAGGCCCAATGTTATGTTTTTGAAAGAGCTATCAAAACAGAAAGTATTGGGGTAAAAATGCTTGTTTTTTTTTTACTTTAATTTGTGGTAGGAGTAATTAAATTACTCTGAAAATCTTTTTTTTAATACATAGGTTATTTTGTATTTAATTCACTTTCTAATTGAGGCTGATTTGGAATCTGTACATAACTGTCCTAAGAAGTGATCATATTCACTAGGGGAAGAGGCTAATAAAGGCTAATGTAAGTTTTGTGTATGCATTCAGAAAATCTACTAGTAGAAATTTTTTCCTAGATATCTTGTTTCCTTCCAGTGATGGAATATTAGCTGGTACAACTATTGTTTCCCATGGCAAAAATTCATTTTTACGGCCCTTCCCCAAAACAAGGCATTCTTAATTTGGAATGCTAACGCAGCCTTCTTATTTATTTTTTTTTTTATTTTTTTTTTTTATAGAGGCATGCTTTATTTATTTGTTTGCTGGTTTGTTTTGTTTGTTTTGTTTATACATGCACTGGGTACAGTCAGAAGCGCGGGAGGGTGAGAGAATTCACCAGAGCCAGAGCGGGGAGCAGAGCAGGCAGAAGGACCAAAGTACACTGCTGAGGGGAGCAGCGGGCGGCAGGAGAGGTCTGCGCGCCATGTGGGACCCTCCTCCGGTGGCCGGGGAGCAGCCGGGGATCGAACCGGCGCCACAGAGGCCGCGGGCAGCTTCGCAACCCAGCGCTCAACCGCTGCGCCACCGGGGAGGCCCCAGCCTTCTTATTTAAAATATTTCCTAGATTTCTTTGCTGTATTTAAGGGTTAAGTGTATATTCTTTAAAATTTAGAACTTAATGACTTTAAACTGTCTATAAAACTAAATACATAGTACTAGATTGGCAAAATGAGTAAAAGAGGCATCAGTTCAAGCTAAACAGTAATCAGGTGGGATCAGAGTATCTCAATCAAGGGGTAATTAGTAGGTATTTATTCAGTCAGCAAGCAGTGAAGGATCATACCCCTTTCCTGCCAGTTGGCCAGAGAGGACAGACAGGTGAATAATGAGATTGGACATTTGCTCCCCAAAAGCGTATTGTCAGAGGGTCAAGCATGAGGTTGGTCTCACAGAGTAGATAGGAGGGGGCAGACAATCTGTAATAGTAAGCAGGCTCTGGAGGGAGCAGACAGATTGGGGTTTAGACCCAAGCCCTGCCTTTTGCTAGCTGGGTGACTACCTTGTGTCTCAGTTTCACATCGGGAAGTCGTTGAAATAAAAACTATCATTATAACGAGCTTTAGTAGGTGCCATGCTTTTGC